AAAAGGAAGCTGAAGAAAACAAAAAGTACAAGTCAAAGATGAAGAATTTGGGGCAGCAAAAGAAAACAAAAGCCTTAAAATTGAAGACTGAAGAAGAAGACATATAAAAATAAATAAAAATAATAAGAAAAATATGAAGAATAACTAAACCAAAAGATAAAGAATATGAAGAAAAGTAAAACAAAACAAAAGAGGAAGAAGAAGAAGAAGAAGACAAATCAGAAGAGAGAAATGAAATAGAAGTTGTAGACGGTGAAAAAGAGAAAAGAAAAGATAAAGAATAAGAAAATTGACGTTGATGATAAATCATAATGAAAAAGAAGACCGGAAAAAACGAAAAAGAAGACCGGAAAAAAAAATCATAATAAGAAAAATTATGACAAGACAAAAATATTGAAGAATAAGAAGGGAAAGTGGATGATGAATTTGGAGAAAGAGGGAGATAAGGAGAAATTAAGTTAAATCTTTCAGGGACATGTAGATGTTTCAGGGACATATAGATGGAGAAAGAGAGAGAGCGTGGGGGGGGGATAAATAGAGAGAGAGAAAGAGAAATGGTAGAGAGAGTTAAACCTTATAGGAACATGATATTAAATCTATGTTAGTTTGTATTTTATGTGTTCTTGTTTATTTATATTTGAAACACTTCTTACTATAAATATAGTGATCTAAATCGTATAATATATACAGTTTAGGACAAAGGGGAAGGGAGAGAATGAGAGAGAAATATTGAAAGAGAGAGAGGGAGAGAGAGAGAATGATAGGGAGGGATGCATGGAGGGGGGAGAGAGAGAGTTAAAGTTTTCCAGTACATGTATTTGATTGATATAAAAGACGAAAGAAAATAAGAAGAATATAAAGTCGGAGAGAACGAAGAAGACGAAGGTGATGAAGAAGAATAAGAAGAAGAATATGTAGAAAACAGTAGAGAAGAAGAAGATGTGATAAAAAAAATTAAAGAATAAAAAGTAAAAAAAAAAGACATATAGAATAAAAAGGAGAAAGACAAAGAAATAAAGAAAATGAGAGAAAACTAAAAAGAAGTCGCGAAAGAAAAACAAGAGATAAATATAGAAGATGATGAAGAAATATAAAGAAAAGACGATAAGAAAAACTAAAAGATAAATAAAAAATAAAAGAAGAAGATCAAAAACAATTATGTGGAGACGAAGAACACGTCTTAGTTCAATTGGTTTGTGTGTCTTAAATAATTGTTTTAATTCTTTTTCAGTTTTTCATTTATAACATCAAAATCTCTAAGTTCACACAAGGTGCGGACCAAGCACCTAGTTTTTAATATTTCTACTAGGCTAGCTTAAACTCTGAGCAGCTCAACATCATCTCGGAGACCCATTGTCTTACTCAGGGGCGGACGTAGTAGACGTCCTACGGGTCATGTGCCCCTTACTGTATTTTATTTTTTCTTTAATACTTTAGGTATATTTAATCAAATTATGTTTAATTTAGTGATAAAAAAAAGAAAAAATTGCCTCCAATTATTTTTGTTTTTCCTATTAATAAAATTATATCCTAACTAAATTATGTTCTCGATCCGCCACTGGTCTTACTATCTTGGCTCTTGGGTTATATCAAACTATAAGACAGTGATCTTGTGTTTTGATTGTGCATGTATGTAGATCAATCGGTGATGCGTACTTAAAAGCGCCCAGAGTTTTCTCTTGATCCTTCATTTCCGCGGTTTATATATCCCTCAACGGCTACAAAGACTGGTTTTATCAGCAGAGCCTTGCGTCTGCACACGAGTCTTGCAAACAAGCGATAAGTTAGTGATATCCGCATCAGATGGACTATGGGAACACATGACCAACCAGCAAACTGTAGAGATAGTGGATAAGCTCTTTTCCTTGTCCGGTAGGCAGAGCTGTGTCTTGCATGTATCAAAAAAGGTAATTGACTTAGCCCACCAAAATTTATTCTAGTTTTAAAGGCCACATTTTCTTATAACTTGAACCAAATATGTAAAATACATGATTTTGTTTTTTATATATAGTAGAAAAACATTATGTAGTTATATATAAATATTTGAAACACAACTATAATAAAAGTATTATAATGTTTAAAATTTTGTTTTGTTTTAAGAAACTATAATAGTATTAACATTAAATAAACTATAAATAAAAGTACATATTTATACATATAAAATAACAATATATTTTATAATTTGTTTTAGGCCTCCATAAGGCTAGGCACGGCATTACTTAAAGATTCATAAATGTTTTAAAACAAAAAAAATCATTTTGCTTTCTCACTGATGTAAAACACATGGGATAGCGAGAAGGCTGGTG